CTGCACAGGTGTTGCTTTTATAAATTCATTCTGAAGCAAGTGTCACTGGCATGGCCAGCATTTATTTTGCCCATTCCTACTTATGCTGGAGGAGGGAGTGTTGAGCCATCGCCTTCACCTGCTGTAGTTCTTTAACTGATACCATTGAGTGTTTCCAGCCATTATTGTTTATACTTTAGATTTCTGCCAATCCCCAATATTTATGCGCATTTAACTGAAAGACCTGTGTTGCCCCTTCTTACTGTGCCATCCAGTGGTGGAACCATCATAACTGCACTATGGTTTACCTAGTAACACTTCATAACGCTTTGACATCTGTAGGTCCATGAGACAGGAGCAGGACCTAAAACCAATGATTTGATTTGTTTATTGTCACGTGTACCTAAGTACAGTGAAAAGCTTTGTTTATGAGCAGTACGGGCAGATCATAGTAAGCAAGGATGTATCATAGGGTGAATAAAAAACTTAGAGGCATACAGGTTATGTCGCACAGGATGTGCGCTAGGCAAAGATCAGCATCATTTGAAGTTAGAGAGTCCATTCATTAGTTTAATAACGGCTTGGAGAAGCTGTTCCTGAACCTGTTGGTGCATGTGTTCAAGCTTCTATATCTTCTGCCTGACAAGTGGTTATAGAAGAGCGTTACTGGGGTGTGATGTCATTGATGTTGGCAGCCTTTCCATGGCAACGAGCTGTGTAAATGGAAGTATGACTTCCGTGATGGTGTGGGCTGTGCACAGCACCTGCAGTTTCTTATGGTCCTGAGCAGAGCAGTTGCTGTACCAGGCTGTTGTTCACCCAGACAGTATGCTTTCAATGGTGATTCAGTAAAAGTTGGTGAGGGTCCTTATGGACATACCAAATTTCCTGAGCTGCCTGAGGAAGAAGAGGCTTGGGAAGTCCAGGACAGGTTGTCAGTTATTGTCACTCTGAGGAACTTGATGCTGTACACCCTCTCAACCCCCGTTCCATTGCTGTAGATTGGGGCGTGCTCTCCTTTCTTTCTGACATCAACGATCAGTCCTTTAGTTTTGCAGATGTTGGGACTCATTTAGGACCGAGATGAGGAGAAATTCCTTTACTCAGAGGGCAAGTGAATCTTAGGAATTCTATACCCCAAGATCTATGGAGTCTTAGTCATTGAGCATGTTCAAGACCAAGAGCGATAAATTTCTAGACACTAATGACATCAAAGAATATAGAGCTAGATGATCAGCCATGATCTGGATGGTGGAGCAGACTGAATAGGCTGAATGGCCTATTCTTGCTGCTGTTTCCTATCCCTTAATCCTTTGGCTAAGTAAATTCTATCAAACTGTATTTTAAAACTGATGATAGATCTACCATCAAATGGCATTTGTGCAAGAGTTACAAACCTCTACTCCTTCATGTGGAGAAATGTTTCCTAACTTCACTCATGAAAGGTCAGCTCCAACTTGTTGTTTTGGAGTCCCTAGTTGTAGACTCCTCAGGATCAGAAATAGTTTCTTCTTGTCTGCCCTGTCTTTTACCCATGCAAATCTTAAACACATCAGTTGGAAACATCCAGTTGACGTCTGCGTATTCTATCCATGTTTGTTTGCAGTGCCCCCATCTATGCGCATGACTTTACACTTACCTGTATTCGGAGGAGTCTGCAATGTGAGCCTGTTCCATCACTGTATTGAGATTGCTTAATAATATGTGACCGCCTATCTAAAGTGCACCCTCGTCAGTTTTCCAAATACTTAAGGATGACATAGGTCTGGTAACTCAGAAGTCCGGCTAATGTTCTGACACAAGTTCAAATCCCAATTTAATTTAATTCTGGGATTAAGACCTAATCTCAGTTTCATGGTCGTCATTAAAATCCTAGATTATAAAAACATATCTCGCTTATTAACTCCTTCTTGGGAAATCTGCTGTCTTTACCTGATCTAGCCTACATATCAGTCCATGCCCATAGTAATGTGACTGACTCTTAAGTGCCTTTGAAATGGTCTTTCATGATATTCAGATCTATTAAAGGAGCATCACGTCAGATTGCAGTGGCTCAAGAGGCAGCTCACCACCATCTACTCAAAGACCTTTAGGGATGGGTATTAAATGCAAACTTGCAAGTGACAAATGCAGAACGGGTATGACCTCCAACCAGCTGAGAATTTTCCTCTTGATTCCCATCTTTCAGAAGGCCTTTGGCAAGGTGTCGCATAGGAGGCTTCTAAATAAGATGAGAGCCCATGGTGTTAGGGGGAAGATACTGACATTGGTACAGGATTGGCGACTGGCAGAAGGTAAAGAGTGGGGTTGTAGAATGGCAGCAGCAACTAGTGGGGTTTAACAGGGGTCCATATTGGAGCCACAACTATTCACATTATACAAGAATGGTCTGGATGAAGGAACTGAGGGCATCGTCGCTAAGTTTGCAGATGACACAAAGATAGCTGGAGATGGTGTTGAGGAAGCAGGGAGACTACAGAAGGACTTGGACAGGTTAGGAAAATGAATAAAAAAGTGGAATACAACATGGGAAAGTGTGAGGATATGCACTTTGGTAAGAAGAAATGAGCCATAGACTATTTTCTAAAAAGTGAAAGGCATTGGAAATCTGAAGCACAAAGGGACGTGGGAGTCCTAGTTCAGGACTCTCATAAGGATAACATACAGGTTGAGTTTGCAGAGAAAGGCACATGCAGTGTAGACATTCATTTCAAGAGGGCTTGAATACAAGAGCAGAGATAAGCTGCTGAGGCTGTGTAAGGATCTAGTCAGATTGCATTTAGAATATTGTGAATAGTTTTAGTCCCTATATCTCAGGAAGGATGTGCTGGCATTGGAGGGGGTCCAGAGGAGGTTTATAAGAATGTTCCTGGGGATGAAGGCCTTGTCATATGGGGAGCAGTTGAGGACTCTGGGTATGAACTTCATGGAGTTTAGGAGATGAGAGGGCAATCTCGTTGCAATTTACAGAATTTGGAGAAGCCTGAATAGAATGGACGTGGAGAAGATGTTTTCCACTAGTGGGAGAGACTAGGGCCAGAGGACACTGCTCAGAGTGAAAATACAACCCTTAGAACTGAGATGAGAAATTTCCTCAGCCAGAAAATGGTGAATCTGTGGAACTCCTTGCCTGAGAGGGCTATGGAGGCCAAGTCATTGAGTGTCTTTAAGATAGAGATGAATAGTAAGGGGATCAAGGATTACAGGGAGAAGGCAGGGGAATGGGGTTAAGAAACATATCAGCCAAGATCAAATGACAGAGAAGACGTGATGGACTTAATGGCCTAAATTTGCTCCTGTGTCTTGTTTCTTAATGTGGGGGAAATGGAAGGTAGGATCCACTTTATCAGGAAGCATAGAGGAGGTGAATATTGTTTAAATGGAGAAAATCTGCAGAAAGCTACAGCACAGTGTGATTTAGCAATCCTCATCCAAAAATCACGTGAAATTGGCATTCAAGTTCATCATGTAATTGAAAGACAGATGGAATTTTGACCTTTATCTCAAAGGGAATGCAATATAAAAGTAAAGAAGTCTTGCCAAAATTACACAAGGCACTGATCAGGTCTCCGCTGAAATATTATGAATAGTTTTAATCCCCTTATCTAATCAAAGAAATACTAACATTGGCAGCAGTTCAGAGAAGGTTCACTAGATTGATTCCATATATGGAGGGACTATCTTGTGAGGAGAGGCCTATATTAGTTGGAGTTCAGAAGAATGAGAGGTGACCTTATGAAAACACACAAGATTCTTAAGTGGCTTGACAAGTTGGGTTCGATAATGTTTCTCCTTATGGGAAAGTCTAGGACCAGAGGGCACAATCTCAGAACAGGGGGTCACCCTGTTATGACAGAGATGAGGAATTTCTTCTCTCTGGGTGGTGAGTCTGTGAGATTCTTTACAGCAGAGGGTTGTCGAGGCTCGGTGGTTAAGTATTTTCAAGACTTAGAGGGACAGGTTTTTAGTCAGTAAGGGGAATTGAGGTTTATGGGGAAAAGGCAGGAAAGTGGAGTTGTGGATTACCAGATCAGCCATGATAACATTGAATGGAAGAGTAGTCTCGATGGACTATCTGGCCTACTTCTTAACGACCTAGCCATGAGAGCCCTTTGTGGTAAATCAGTTATGTACTGTTACTTTCCGTATCCATTAGAAAATCTGTTTCTTTTGCCATTGTTGATTGGGAAATAAATATTGGCCGGGACACCGGGCAAACTGTCCCTGATCCTCTTAATAATAGTGCCTTAGGATCAAACTTGTTCACTTGATAGAGCTGATGAGCCCTTGGTTTATTGCTTGATTTGAAAAACAGCGACTCTGACAGTGTAGCACTCGTTCATTAGGGCAGTGGAGTGTCAGCCACAGTTATTGTGCTTGTGTCTCTCGTGGCACTAGAACTATTAAAATCCAAGGTTTGTAAATATTAAGCCCGGGAGTTCTGCAAATACCATTTATATTTCTCTTCGTGGCACCCAACTCTTGGATTATTCCTGTGTTAACTTGACTCCCAATCCTCTGAACATGAAAGTTAAATTTTCTTCATTACTTTCATCTCTCAATCCTTCTCTTATTTGATTCTCCCTAACTTTTCCTCGCTATTCTTTCTCTTGTCTCTGACAGCCATTAAATGATGCAAATTGACAACGTGGCTCTTTGAGGAACTATTTAATTAATCTCACATTGCCTATAGTCCCATAGTCAGTTTTCTTCCTTTTCAAGAATTTGTCTAATTTCCCACAGAAAGTTACAATTGAGTCTGCTTCCAATGTCATTTCAGGCATCACTTTCTTGATTATCCCAAATTGCCATTTAAAATCTTCTCGCATCACATCTGGTACTGTTGCCAGTTATGTTAAATCCGAATCCTTTGGTTACCAACCCTTTTACTAAATTCTTTCTTTTCTCTCTCCTGCTCTTGTTTCCACTCCATTTATTGTCTCTACTTCTCTCACTCTCCCCTTCCCTTATGTGCTTCCTCCAACAGTCATTTCATTTTTCTATCTATTTTCTTTCCCCAGGTGCGTAATCTGCGATTAGAGCAGGAACAAGAGAAAAACAAAATACTTTCAGAAGCTTTGCAAACTCTGGCCTGTGAACATCATGAACTTGAACAGTCTTTAGTCAAAGGGTCCCCACCCCAGAGTGTATTGAGTGATGATGAATTCTACGATGCTGTTTCAGGTCAGTGATTTTTTTTTTTTCCAATTGATTCATGAGATTTTAGTGATGCTGCCCTTGAACTGAGTGGCTTGCTAGGCCATTCAGAGGGCAGCTCAGAATCCACTGGATAAAGTCAACTGAAAGTATTTCCTTCCCTAAAAATCAGAGAGATGTACAGCATGGAAACAGACCCTTTGGTCGATCTCGTCCATGCCGACCAGATATCCTAGTCCCATTTGCCATATCCCTCTGAAGCCTTCCCATTCATATATTCACACCCAGATGTCTTTTAAATGTTGTAATTGTACCAGCCTTCCACTTCCTCTGGCAGCTCGTTCCATACACACATCACTCTCTGTGTGAAACAAATTGCCCCTTCGCTTCCTTTTAAATCTTTCCCCTCTCACCTTAAAACTATGCCGTCTAGTATTGGACTCCCCCACTCCAGAGAAAAGACTTAGTCTGTTTACCCTATCCATGTCCCTCCTTATTTTATAAACCTCTGTAAGGTCAGCCTCTGCCTCTGACGCTCCAGGGAAAATAGCCCCAGCCTATTCAGCCTCTTCCTTTAGCTCAAACCCGCCAACCCTGGCAACATTCTTGTAAATCTTTTCTGAACCTTCACAACATTCTTCCTATTAGCAGGGAGACCAGAATTGCACACAGTATTCCAGAAGTGGCCTAACCAATGTCCTGTAGAGCCATAACATGATCTCCCACCACCCTATACTCAATGCTCTGATCAATAAAGACAAGCGTACCAAATGCCGCCTTCACTATCCTGTCTACCTGTGACTCCACTTTCAAGGAACTGTGAAGTAGGAATTGTGTATCAGATGGTTTTTACAACAATCAATGACTGGCTTTTTAATTCAAAATTTATTAATTGAATTTAAATTCCACCAGCTGATGTAGTGGGGTTCAAACTCATAACCCCAAGGTATTAACTTGGGAAAAACCGAAAGAACTGCGGATGCTGTAAATCAGGAACAAAAACAAAGTTGCTGGAAAAGCTCAGCAGGTCTGGCAGCATCTGTGAAGGAAAAAACAGAGTTAATGTTTCAGGTCCGGTGACCCTTCCTCAGAACAGAGGAGGGAGGGTCACCGGACCCGAAACATTAACTCTGTTTTTTCCTTCACAGATGCTGCCAGACCTGCTGAGCTTTTCCAGCAACGTAGTAGTAGTAGTAGTAGTAGTAGTATTAACTTGGGACTCTGGGTTACTAGTCTAGTGACATTTCCGCAACGCCACCATCTCTGCAGCAAGGAATGTATTCTTAGAGTACGGTGGAGGCAGATTCAATCCTGATTTTCAAAGGGACTTTTATAACTATGTGTAGAGAATGTGAGTGCTGTTGGATAAAGGTAGAAGGGAGTTGGAATCGCCAATATTCCTTGCCAAGAGCTGGCAGAGACACGAAGGGCTACTTTCTGTACTGTAACCATTCTCTGATACTAAGCAACTCATTAATCTGTCTACATCATCAAGATGAATAGATCATATCTATTGTACCAGAATATCTTTGAATTCTTTGTTAGCAGAGAGATGAGATAGAGATGGAGGGGGATAAAAGCTGTGAAAGAGGCAGAAAATTATACAAAGGCACATTGTGCAAACTGAGTTAAATGGAAGTGTTGTCCTGAGTGTCAATCTGCACGTTGACTCATTGTAAGATAAAGAAATGTACTGATTGGTACTGGGCATTGTCCTTTCAAATGTTTGCTTCCACTGTCTTTGGAAAGGCTGAAGAAATGCTCAAAAATGGTGTATTTAGTCCAGTCATGATGGGATAGTTTTGCACTGATTTACATACACTATCTTGCAGGTGGGTAAAATGCATTCCAAGCCCAATCCATAAAAGTAAGATACTCGCGCTGCTAGGGAATGGCTGATGTCATGAAAGCAGAACTTGTAACCAGGTGTATGCAGAATATAATCAAAGAGGTAATGCTAAAGCTTTACCAGTCTTAAGGGTAGGTCCCTAATATTGGATGCCTACAGGAAGGAGATTCAGGTCATGCAGAGCATATAAAAGACTTTCATTAAGATAATGCCACAGAGAGGAAGCTATGGTTGGGGCAGTGATGGGTTTTTGATTCAAAAGGTGGGAAATAGTTTAAGAGTAGGACTGATTTTGAGGTGGTGTCCAAAATTGAGATGCTATAATGAAATAAATCAGTAAAAATAACCTCACTGTTTGGTAATTTTTGCAAGCCAAGGCCATACAAAATGCAGAATGAGAGTTTGGTAGATTTGTCTTTTGAATAGAAAAATCTCAGAGCAATTTTACCAAGTTATAGATGGACTGGATTGGCTGTGATGTATTTTAGGAACATGTAGCAAATCTGGAGAGGTTAAGGAAGAAAATTTCCATGTGAATTGCTGTGATGCTGAAAGTCACATTGTGAGGTGCTGGTATATTAGCTTGGATTACAGGCTTAAAATCTGGTGTGGAGCTTGAATTCATAATTCAGTCATAATCCACAAAGAGTTTTAAAACAAGCTGAGGGAGATGGTGTTGTCGTGGTAATGTTACTGTAAAGGCCCAAGCTAATATTTTGGGAATGTGGGGTCAAATCCCAACATGGCAGGTGGTGGTACTTAAATTCTATTAATAAAATCTGCTATAAATTCTATTTTAAAAATCCAGTTTTAGTAATGGCAATCATAAAACCAGCCTCGATTTGTTGTAAAAGCCTACTTAGTTCACTGATGTCCTTTAGAGAAGGGAATCTGCTATCTTTACCTAATCGAGCCTATTTGTAGGACAATAGCTCCACAGCATTGTGGTTGACTCTTAACTGCCTTCTGAAATGGCCTCGCAATGTTATTTTAACGGCAATAAGGGATGAGTATCAAATGCTGGCCTTTCCAACAACTCCTCCATTTATCAAGATCATCTGGCTAATCCTCTACCATGATTTCACTTTCCTAATCGCTTAAAACTTGCTCTTATTCCCCATAATTAGAGAAACTGCCATATATAGGACCACATCATCGATGCGTACTTCAGCCAGTTGCGTACAATCTGCTGCCTCAGGATTACACACAATATAGAGTTCAATAATTTTAGGGCCTAAACTCTCCCATGTCCTAGCCCCCTACCCCACACACCAGGCCTTGTTCTCACACAGCCTGCCATTACACACTAACCTTATCTGCTTTCCGGAGGGACAACTCTCTCCGTGACTCCCTTGTCCGCTCCACACTCCC